TTCCACTGCTACTGTAAAAAGTGATATAATCAGTACTTTTAAACAGATTGATATAAAATCAATTATTTGGTTTGTTAATAAATGTGTGCCAAATGCCAATCTCCTGTATTTGCAGATTTGCAAATCAGAAAAAAATCATACACACTCCACTCTTTCTGTACAAGAGAGACAATCACAATTTCCCTCTTAATTATGAAAAGGGAGGTTTTTATCCTTGCTACTCATGAAAAACTACTCTGATCTGTCCTGGTTTTGAGAAAACTAAGCACAGATCTTTGTTTCATTCTGTTGTTCTGTTTCTGCAGAACACTGGCAGAAAACATGTTTCTTCATGGGCAACTTTCTAACCCATTTCTTCCATCCCTGCTCAGCCTTTTCCCATCCAGGGTTCATTTATTTTATTTATTTATTAGATTTATACCCCACTTTTCTCTCAGAATAGGATTCAGGGCAGTCATTCTTCCATACTGGGTCTTTCTTAGTACAGTGTTTCTTCCTCAAAAGGAAGCTTGCCATTGGGTTCTTTGCATATATATTTGAAAATTTAGAATTGTTGCTTAGATCTGTGGTAACTAAAACTCTTCTGTATTGCTAAATAAGTAACTAATTTTTCTTCTATTTAGGCTCTGCTTTTGCTAAAGCTAAACCAGAAAGTCCATGGACCTCCCTGACTCGAAAAGGAATTGTTAGAGTTGTTTTCTTCCCCTTCTTCTTCAGGTGGTGGCTACAAGTGACATCAAAGGTTATTTTCTTCTGGCTCCTTGTCCTTTATCTTCTTCAAGGTACAGCTGAGTGAGAGCCTGTGTCAGACACATACCTTAAAAAACACTAAACTTCATCTTTCTGAGTTCTAGTAGACATTTTAATTCCTTTTTAAAAAAATCTATATTTTCTTTAAAAAAAATGAAGTTGCGATTAAGAAGCTAAATTACATTAATTCCAGCAATAATATAGAACTTGACTGTGTAAAAAAAGAGCTGAGAAAAACATAATTTTACCACTATCCATAATGTTGGGGTTGTTGGTCCCAGCTACGGTAGACTCATTGAATAATGGGATGTACATAGCCATTCAGAAATGGATCAAATGGGCCTGCTCTATGGATTTGCTGCAGCCATTGGATTTAAGCCCAGCAGAGCAGTATTAGAAAGTTTAAAGAAAGCTTGAGATTAGAAGGGATTCAGATCATTAAAAAATTAGTTGACATTTTTTCTGCAGTAGACTAATGAGAATATAAAAAGAATCCTTATATAAAGTCAGACCAAAGGCCTTTTTTTGTCCAACATTCTGTTCTCAGTGGTCAACCAATTGAGCGAAATAGCACCTTCCATTCATGCTTTCTAGCAACTAGTGTTCAGAAACTTACTGTCTCTGATACAGGACCCTAACACATAAGCATAAAGTGAAGTAGCCATAGATAACCTTATTCCCCATAATGATAGTGTTCTATCATGGCTAACATTTGTTCTCAGAAAGCAGTAATATCTTTATAATGAAGTTTCAGTTGAATTTTTCATTTATCTATAGTACAGCATTTCATTACACCACTTGTATTGATAGATGAGAGTCAATGTGGTGTTGTGGTTTGGGTGCTGGATAAGGATCTGGGGATTAGCATTCAAATCCCACTCAGCCTTGGAAACCCACTGTGTGACCTTGGACAAGTCATATTCTTTCAGCCTCAGAGGAAGGCAAAGGGAAACCCCCTCTGAACAAATCTTGCCAAGAAAAGCCCATGATAGATTCACCTTAGGGTCTTCATAAAATGGAAATGACTGTAAAGCACATGATAATAAAATCAATTAATATATATTCCCTGCTAAGGTGATAGCTTGCCTATAGGCAGTTTTTGTACAAATTCATGCATATATTAAATAGAGCATTATTAACATGTATACTCTTATTTTGTTCTGATTTCTGTGATAGTTTGGAAAGCATTGCATTTTAGAACTTTATTCTCAGGTCAGCTCATCTAAGAGTTTCTTCCAGGAATGTTAATTGTAAGAAGACATTTGTACTTGTATGTAGTATAGGATTTAAGTTGTATTGCCAATTGCTAGCATTTTAAAGGCTGTGTCACTTATAATTAAATATCAGAAAACATGTTAACTCAATACATAGAGCACCCTCCAACTAGCATCAAGAAAAGTAAGACCCATTGGTATATGTTTGATTTGGAATTATATTAATTTCTAACTAAATGAGCAATGACCTTCAGTAATAATGGGAAAAAAATCTTAAACTGAGCAATGTTTCTATTATTTGTTTAATAATGAATTACTGGTGCAGACTGGATACTTCACTCTCTCCTCTTATTTCTTTTAAAAGTTGCTGCAGTAGTATTGTTCTGTACAATAGAAGGCCCACATAATATACCTCTGACTGAAGTAATAGGGCCTGTATGGCTTATGTTGCTCCTTGGAACAGTGCATTGTCAGATTGTTTCAACAAGAACACCTAAACCACCTCCAAGTACAGGAGGGAGAAGGCGAAGGTACAGTTTGTGCTAACATTGTGGGTCCCTTATGCATGCAATTGCACTAATTTACTTCAGAATCTAAAATACTTTTGAAATACAGTACTTCAATTAAAATCTTATACTATGCATTTAAAAAAATTGTATTGTGTCTGTGTTTTTATTGAGTCATAAGGATTTTTAAATTTGTATTTACAACGTAGCCCCTAAACATGGGAATGGTTACCCTATAAATACTGTTGGCTAGTTTTGTCAAGCTGCATACAATATACATAGGTATTTTGTTTCAGAGAACAAAATAAAATAGTAAAAGCTTCAGCACTGAACACTGACTTATAAACCCACCAGAACTAAAGTAATTAGCTAAAAACCTAATATTATGAAGAATTAATTGAAGTTCTTGTGTTTCTTTTGGGTTGGTTGATAAGGAAACTGTACTTAGAGAGCGTGGTAATGAAAACTTACTTTCTGTCATGTACAATGGCAAAGCATTTTAAGCCAACATGATGACTGTATTTAAAGCATGTGTTGCATGCTGACAAGAACGCTGATCATATTTTAGTGATAGTGAATGACACTTACAAGATACCTTCCACTTTTAATCTCTTCTGATGAAGGAAATTAAGGAAAGCAGCACATTTGGAAGTACATAGGGAAGGAGATGGCTCTAGTACCACAGATAACACACAGGAAGGAACAGTGCAGAGCTACGGTACAAGCACCTCTTACAGTATTGGCGCTGTCTTCAGAGATATCTGGCATGCCGCTTTCCTTTTATCAGGGTTTGTATTTTATTCAAGCCTATGTCTGTCTTGAAGATGCACTATCCCCTTTCGGACATAGTAAGCATTTATCTATTTCCAACATACCTCTGTACATCCAGCTACGTCAGTGGTTCCAAAACCATGTTCCTTCAGATGTTATGGACTTCAGCACCCAGAATTCCTCACTTTTGGCCAAGCTGGCTGAGGCTTCTGGGAGCTAAGGTCCAAAGCACCTGGAGGACCAGAGTTTGGAAACCATTGAGCTAAGTGTTCCTAGTTCATGATTTATAAATTATATGAATTTTGGCACTTGAGGCTCTATTCTGTTTATTTAGGCAAAGAGCCATAATCCTCTGATGGTGTATATACAAACTTTTTTTTTTTTTAGAAAGACCAAAGAAAACCAAATGTAGGCCCTGTTCGTCTGAATTGTCTTGCAGGGCTCGTTTCCTTATTCTATTTTTAAGAGATGATATTTCCAGTTCGTTAATGCAATCAACTTTAACTTATCTGCATCAAGGACTCTTCTGTAGTCTCAGCCAGCAGTACAGAGTCCATTTTTAGTTCCTTCATTTTTTGCTTGCAAAATTATGACAACTGGATATTCAATATTGTTCAGTTTGTGTCAGACTAAAAGTGTTTACACTGAAAACAGATGCTGATTTAATTGATTCAGAAACAGAGAGTGGCAGGATAAAATAGTCTCATTTAGATCTCGGGTTGAATAATTGGGGAAGAACAAGATAAAGTATTAGGAATTGCTTGCCATTGTTTAGGAGAAAAAAGATGGAACTTTTCAGAAAGATGAATTGTACCTGACTCATCTGCCACTGCTCAGATGGATCATTGACCAGAATAAAAATTAACAAAAAAATTAATCTAGGTCTAGATGGGGAAAGAGTGACCCCTAAAACATCCAAATACATTTTTGAGACTTCCTTTGCCTTTAGATACCCTTAATGCCCTTTGGGTGGCATAGGAACAGTTTGGTCACAGCTGTGGTTCAGGAGAGGCATTTTTATTTCCAACAGGAAATGATTGAAAGGTTGGTGGAGACACTTTCCAAGGTCCTCTGGAGAGCCAGGGCAGCCTCCTGACCCTGGTTGCTTGCCCACCTCTGAACTAGAGGATGTAGGGGGCAAGATTGTTATGCTTTTGCCCTTCTCCAGGCAGTTTAAGCCCTAAAAAGGCCTTTATATAATCATGAAGTCAATTTGGAAGGATTGTTGAAAAGTGAAATACCCAGCTCTGATTGTTTGCTTGAAACTGTAAATTCTATTGTGTTGGCCACTGTTTTGAAAAGCAAATGAAATTATCTAGATTTATACGTTTACACTCTTTATTGTTGTTTAATACAGCCATTGCAGTACAGTCTTCGGTTTCTGGCAAGCAATCAGCAATTATTTATTTATATATTTGTTTAGCTATCTGAGAGAAGGGGAAAAGGGAAAGACTGAGACGAATACTTGATTGTTAGTTGCCCTTACGTGGAGCTTCTACTTATTGTTTGTTTAACAGTGCCTATAGCATTCATACAATTCAGTTTAGGGCTGTTGGTTGACACATTGGTGGATTATGTCCACTAAAGACCAGTGAAACAGTGAGCTGAAATAGCTCTACAGTGCACTTTATGTTTTACTGAAAAATTATATAACTTACAAATATATTTGTACTAGTTGGAATATATTACAAATATATTTGTACTAGTTGGAATTTAAATGAAGCCAAGATTTGTAGATTAGTATAAGCTGTATAAGAGAGTCAGTATGGCATAGTGGTCTGAGTGTTGGACTATGACTCTGGAGACCAGAGTTTGATTCCCTGCTCAGCCATGAAATCCACTGGGTAACCATGGACAAGTTGCATTCTCCCAGTTTCAGGGGAAAGCAATGGCAAACTTCATCTGAACAAATCTTGCCAAGAAAATGTCATGATTAGGGCTGCCATAAGTCAGAAAGCCTTAGGATTGCCATAAGTCAGAAATGACTTGAAGGCACACAGCAACAAGAACAACAACAGGCTCTATAACATTGAAAGTAATTGTGAAACCTGCTGAGGATCATCATCTCACACTTGATTTTTAAATTATAAACCTGACCAAACATTGATACATGATTTCTTTACATTTTGGTTCAGATGTTTGAAAAAGGGTCTGCACATTGATGCTAGGTGATAATAATGTACTACTGTTTTTACAGTATCAGGAAAGGGGATAGTGCAGTTTATTGATTAACATTTTGTATCTGTTACACTAATGTGTGTGATACCTGTACTGTTAGATGACTGTGCTGTTAACTAAAATTGTGGCATGTGTGTTGCTTTCAGCAAAGGCACTCATGGTTTCATCCCACTTTAGTTTACATAAATCACCTCATTTTCTTTGTATGAAATGTTTGAAAGGCACAAATGTATTATATTTGGAGATGGTTTGACTGAGGTGTATTGAGAACAACAAGAGTCTGGTTATACACACTGTTTTCATTGTGATTATAAGTCTCATCTGCTTTCTAAAACACTATGGAAAGCTCAGCATTTCCTTTTCTCCAACCAGATGCTCAAAAGCATGGACAAAACCTTTTATAGGAAAACTGAATAATGTAAAATGTACTTAAAGGTTTACTTGTTATGTTTAACATTTGATATAGCTTTAACACTCTTAATAGAGGGAATTCCAACCTAGAGTTTAATCTTCGTAAGATTTCTTATAAAACACTCTGGTTTTATTTTTTAAAGCCACACAAGTTGTTTTTGCAAATGTTCTGTATATGATATACAAATGTGTATGGGTCATGCTTGGATAATTTTTTAAAGACATCAGTGATTTTATACAGAGTTTTAATGATATTAGCCCAAACCTTTAACGATATTGATTGTCTAAATTAGAGTGGGCTCATTTAGACAGTTGAATATACTTGTGTATTTTCTCATCATCCCATTGATTGACTCAATTGATTCAGTGGGTTTACTTTAGGTGGGACTAGTCAACAGGATTTCAGCCAGCTTTTTTTTTAAAAAAAGTATAATGAAAAAGATGTTGGATATGATATAGAAGGAGCTGTTGTAGATGAAGAGGTGGTAGACAAATGCTTTAAATAACTAAATAAAAATAGAGTAAAGTTGCTCTGGGAAAATGGCACTGGAATGTGTGTGGGGGTCCAGCTTAAAAGTGAAACTTTCCCCTTTATCTCTTTAACACAATGTAACATCCGGTAGCAACAGTTTCACCTTCCCGCTCTGGCGCATGCGCACTGTGGAAATTAGGGTTAGCGCTAGGGTTCTGAAACAGACGCACCTGTGGTGGTTCGCCCACACATGAACTCTAAAAACGCTTTAATTTGAAGCTTTTTTCAATGAGCACATGCTCCCCAAGGACAGCTCTAAATGCGGCACACCTATATACGTGCATTCACATTGGCGGCTTTTGTGCTCGGGTGCACTTTCACTGGAAGAGGCAGGTAGGGGGCGCTTTTTAGGCGTGCGTCATGTAAAGACCATGCCTTCAGGTCAGCCCCAAAACAACCCTTTTAGCCCATCTGCATCTCCCCTTAGAGGAGGAATGCTTCCTTTTGAGGAGAAAGATAATCCAATCCAGCAGTTTTAGGATTATTACTTCTCATTACTAGTACAGTAAAGTTGTACCAGTGAAGCAACAGTCTCTGCTCTTTTCAAAGTCAAAATGCTTTGAATGAAGCTCTGTTTAATCTCAAATGTGGTAATGCATTTGCTATTATTTTTTATTTCCTTCATCAAAAGAGTCTACTTAAATCTGTAGTTTGCAGTAGAACTTGAGTATTGTTAAGTTTCATGCTATTACTCTACTACTTTTCTAATGGAACTACTAATGCAGAAGATTCTGCTTCTGTATTCGCTGATAGTATTGAACAATCAGCATTAGTTTGTTTCTTTTTACATCACTGGAAATTTTATCTATGAAACAGAATAGTTCCAAATTGGCAAAAGGGTAAGGCAAAGCCACCCTATTTGTTTAACTTATATGCAGAAAATATCATATGAAGAGCAGGTTTATACTCAAAGAAGGAGGCATGAAGATAGGAAGAAGGAAAATCAACAATCTAAGTTATGCAGATGACACCATAATAATTAGTGCAAACATAGACTTGGAAAAATTACTAAGGAAAGTTAAAGAAGAAAGTGTAAAGGCAGGCTTACTGCTGAACATAAAAACAAAAACAAAAATAATGAACATGGAGGATCTACATAAATTCAAACTAGATAATGAGGAAATCAAAGTAGTCAAAGATTTCCTGAGCTGGGATCAAATATTGATCAGAACAGAAACTGCAGCCAGGAAATCAGAAGAAGACTAGGAATAGGAATGGCAGCTATGAAACAACTAGGCAAGATCCTAAAGTGTAAAAAAATACAACTGAGCACTAATGTTAGAATCATCCAAGCCATTCCCCATCACTGTGTATGGATATGAGAGCTGGACAGTGAAGTAAGATAGGAGGAAAACAACTCATTTGAGATGTGGTGATGGAGAAGAGTGCTGAGGATAGCGTGGATGGAAAAAAAAAAAGGCAAACAAATGTGTCTTTGAATAGATTGAGCCTTTTCCTGGGAGCCAAGATGACAAAACTGAAGCAGTAAAAAAGAATGATAGGAAGAAAATCATTATAAAAGTCAATTATGCTAGGAAAGGTAGAAGGTAGTAGCAAGAGAAGAAGACCTCATGCCAGATGGCTAGATTTAAATCAGGGATGTCATGGGCCTGAATCTGCAGGACTTAAATAGAACAGTGGAGAATAGGGGATCTTGGAGATGTCTCATTCACAAGGTTGCCATGAGTCGGGGCCAACTTCTGGGCAATTAACAACAAAATGTTTGTATTAGTGGTTTATAGCAATGGGATTATTTCAATCTGTTTATATCCCCCCCCC